TACTGAGAATACCTCTCGCTCGTTCCTTACACTTTTCAGAAACCTTAAATACTTTGCAACAGCTAGGAGAAAACCTGCGATAATCTTGCAGAAGCTCGTAAAACCGCACCTTCCTTTATCTACCTACAGATCCTTCGAGTAGCAAATTGCAATCACAAACACCCAGTTTCAAAGAAATATATCTACATCATGGTTTCATAACAACAGGTTGAAACTAAATGAGGAACTGTTGCACCTTGAACACCTGGGACCACACTGGAACGCCTGGGAACCACACTGGAACGATGACGATTGAAAATTATAATCACATTAATAGAGCTTAGCAGGAGAGAAAAACGATTGGGTATTATATTAGATGATAAATTAAACTACTAGGCTACTAGGTGTATTTCACCACTCTTTGCAAGGGAATTGCCAGAAATCACATACCCTTTCAAGAATTTCCATCTTTATGAATAAAGAGAGAAGCTTAGAAAAATTATAAGAGCCGTTATAATATTACAGTTTGGGTACATTCCTCTGATTTGGATTTGTCATACATGAATAGGCTCTACAAAGTTTGTACAAGTACACAGCTTTGGATTTAGATGCTTTACTGCATAAGGACAATTCAGTACATATACTTGTACAAAACCTGCAATTGCTGATGATAGAATTTTTCAAATTAATTAACAACCTGAACCTAACATTCGTAAAAGATCTGTTTTCCGATAGCCAAAGAGCAAGTCTCTTTAAGAAATGTTAAAAGAACTCAGCTACTAAAAGTTCAAACAAAAACTTGTGGTATAAAAAGAGTCTCATTTTGATGTGAATTATGGAATACTCTACCCAACGAATGGAAAAGCTCTGAATCGAACTATAATCGAACTCAAAAGAAAGATAAAGAAATAGAATGAAAGCGAATGCAATTGCAGGATTTATAAAACTTATGTAGCAAATGTTGGTTACATTGATTAACTACATTTATCTTTTATATGACCAAACAAACAAAAACCCGTATATAATTACCCTCAGTTTGTTATTAAATAGCTTTATTCTAACTTAGTAGGCTTGAATTTAGTTTAGTTTAATTTAGCTTTTGTTCTTATACATTTTTGTTGCCTACTGTAAATAAAATTTATTATCATTAAAATGATAAAATGAAACTATGCAAGGGTTTTAAAAACTTTTTACGCAATTGTTGGATCGTTTACAACTTGAATTTTTCAGAGCTTCTTACAGCCTGTTCAGTTCTTCTTCACTGTGCCTAACAACTTGCACAACAATTGTGAGTAACGGCCTAAGATACAACCAATCAACTTCAAATTGAGCAGGAAAGAGTTGTTAGAAGGCAGATAGGATCACATAGCTGGGATAATCCTTCAAAAATACTTCAAAGGCTTATCGCAATAAGCGGCTAGTGGCCACAATGTTTCTCGGATTTGAATGATTTATGAAAATATTTTCAAACATAGTTGTAGTTAACATTCAAAGTGACAACTGTTTCCATGGTGGCATGCAAAAAACACGGACGGGGAAGCTTTCATAGCCACTTAGAAAATTGTATCCCGATCACCGTGCTAGAAAACTCACAAGTTAAACCATTCTTTCATTTTGTGTTTCTTGTATTCGTCCATTTGGCATCGTTTTATAACTTTAGAACTGAACAGGCATTTTCCTTCACTTTTCTTTCCAGTTTTTGTACATTATAAGTGTTTCCAATTGCAGCTCCTCTAAAAAAAATTGACGTTTCACAGCTCAACTGGAAAAAAAGAATTGAAAAGGTCTTATACAGTATCTTGCAAATCAGGTTATACCAAAAAAATATATTTCATATATTTTTACAAAAATTACGTAGGCAACAAAGAACAAAGTATCAGTTTTATAACTGATAGTTTTAACGTTATAGTTTGATGCCTCATTAAAAAATGCCTTCGGGGCATTTTTTAAGATTGCGATGGATCTCGTCATATTTAACATAACTAATTTTTTTACCTATACAAAATTTCATCAAACGTATCATACAAGGTACAATTTAAAAGCGGAGCCACTGCAATATCGTTAAATCTTAAAAGAAACTTGTTTGGCAAAATGAAAAGCTTCATCAGCCATAGCTTTGCAGCCCCCCCCCCCCCCCCCGATTTACGGTATGTCCTTAAAATTGATATCGGGCAATTATCTTGAAAATGATATCTGGAGAGCTCCAGAAGTGATGAACACTTGATTATGCCAGAATTTAATTTCTCCATCTTAGGAGTAAAGAACATTATTAGATATATTAAAACCTCACAAAGAAAAAGCCCAGATCAGCTGAGACCAAGAGTACTAAAAGATCTTTCTTCCCAGTTATGCCCAGCCCTCACATGTATTTTCAATGCTTCGTGAGAACAAGGAAAGCTCCCTAAAATATTGACAAGTGCTAACATAGTACATGTTTTTAAAAAGGGAAGACAGAGGTGAGGCAGTCAACTAGAGACCAACCTCCCTCATCTGTGTTTAACTGATGAAACATCATAACAGTCAAGGAATTTTATATAACTTACAACATGGGCAACTACTTGAATTTTCACATGAAATGCTACTCTCAGTGCAAAATGGTAATCAAAATTATTTAATTGTAATGGACTTCTCCAGTGCTTTTGGGAAAATTGCCCACAAAAAACAATTGTACAAGCTAAACAAATTCGTTGTAAAGGGGAAGACTTTGAAGTGGATACGGGCATACGGTACCTCAAGGCTCCGTATTGGGCTCAGCCCTTTTTCTTGTATACATAAATGACCTGCCACAGTATGTCAAGCATGTTATTTGCTGATGAAACTTTATTGTATTTAACTATTGCAAATGAAAGGGGCCGCCAAAGGATGAAAGAGGACCTTTAAAACTAGGAACGCTGGGAGAATAAGTGGCAAATGTGTTTCGATGCTGATAAATGCCAGGCATTATCAATATCAGAGGCATGGCTAGCGGGTTTGGGTCTAGAGGAGCTGCAAGTTGAGTGAGAGGACGTCATAATAGAACATCCAATGTTTCTGATATGCTCCAATCATTTGGATGGCGCAGCTTAGAACAGCGCAGAGTTGACGCCAGGCTAACAATGTTATATGGACTTGTCTATACTCAACTTAAAGATCGTCTGGAATACTCTCTTAAAAATGGAAATTAATACAGCTTCATTCAAAAACAGATTATTTTAAGTTCTCATTCTTGCCACGCACTATCATTCAATAGAGGCTTGCATTTAGATGTGCAGACAGCAAAACTTGAAATGTTATCAAGAACAAAGGGCAGAACGCAAAAGTTTTGTACAATGACAGATTCACCTTAACCTAGAAAATATGTTTTGCTTGCTTTTTTGTTTACCTTATGTGAATGCTGCACGGGGTGCTGGGTGCTGGGTGCGGGGTGCGGAGTAGCTTTTTAAGCATGCGTGTGTTATAGTAATTACAAATACGTAAGTAGCGATTGAATCCTACGACATTTGGGGGGGAGGGGCGATTTGTAGTTATAACTGGTATCTTTGAGGGGATTTTTTATTTTATAAAGCTATTCTAGGGGATTGGTAGAGGTTGGAATTTTGATAAGCTGCTTCACATTTCGAACTGGCATTATCTATGCTTCAGCTGGACAAACTGGACAAGAGTCAATTCCGCCGAAAGTCAAGAAAGAAGGGTTGGAAATAACAAATGGCCTTTCAAGAGAGATGTTGATTTAAAATTCAAAATTGAATATTGTCATCATTCTTGAGGCCATGAATCTCTTGTATGTTTATTTGTCCACCAGAGGCGTCAACGGAAGCAACTTTATAGCTTCAATTGTTTGCATCAGTAATTCATGATGAAAATATTTCTTATTTTCAATGAGTAAAGCTTGGCAGCAATTGAATAATCTACATTTCGTTGCCAAACTTTGAATCTCGATAGTATTAAATCAAATCAACAAATTTTCGAAAAATTTCAGCTTCGATTAATACCAAAGTCAATCATGCTTTATGTTAAGGATCTAGGCAAGTTTAGTTTGTTGTGTTCTTAGTGACAGAGCCAAGATGTTATATTCTAATATGAACTGTGGGAGGGGAAAATTGAGGTTCATTGAAAAAATTTGGGGGACAATAGACTGCTTCATGTAATATGTCACGAAATATGTAGAACTCTAGAACAAACTTTGCAAGCATCGAGTCAAACAACTTCATCTTTTGGTAGACACTACTCAGATAGTTATTTTATAAAACTATAGAGAGAAAATGCTTATATCTACCTGTAATCTTAAAGAATTCTTGGACAAGCAATAATTACATCACATTGAATACTAAATAACTGAATCCAATGCTGAAGCTTATGATAGGTCATTATTGAACTTTGTGAAATAAACTGATATAAAATGTTTATGGATTTTTTTGCTCTGCTTCTCTTTCACTTTTGCTCGGCCAGTCCAACTCCATTAAAGCCATTTTGAAATTTATCGATTGATTGTCGTTAATCAGCTGAGTATATTTTCAGTTTAGTGGCCCATAAGGAGTGGGCTCAGAGCCTTGCCCAGTTTTGTACCCGTCAGAAATAATCCTGGATCCGCCACTGGTCAAATCACATACAAGTATTTTTTGTTCCACTCAAATCTGGTTGCCCTTTCTATTGGTATTGTCAAATTTTAACATGAAAACGAAATATTCCTGAACGTGAATTTCTCATGTCTCCAGAAAGGCGACTTTCATTCATTTGCAAAAATGTTTCCAGGGCTCAAAATTATCAGTAACCTTTCTTTGAATGATTTTAAATTTTGCATATTTCGGTTAGGCAGGTTATTTAGATGGCTATACAAAAACTCGTTTCTACTAAGACGACTGCATTTGCTGTTGTAAGTTTGCGTTGAAATCCGTCAAACAGACGAAAACGCTGAGTAGCTGTTTTCTTTAATCTGAAAGCTTTTCAACCTTTAATAGAGATTTGAATAGTTACATGCTACATAGAGATCTGCATATGTCAATCTCATGGGACAGCTGAATGAGTGAGGTTATCAAAAGACATCTGTTTTACCCTATGGCCATTCTTGATTTTACAAACTGAGAGGAAGACATCTACGATCCTGATCATCAGCATGTTTGTGGAAACTACATAATTTACAAAAGTGCTGCATTTCCAAAGAAGCAAAATGAGTAACAACACATCAAATGACGTAACAGCATTGTGTCAGACCTTACAGCAGTCAACAGTTAGAAAATACAATACGCCCTTCATTTCTGACTTATTGCAAATTGTATTTGTGGCAGTTACTTCTATATTTGCAACATCAGTAAACTCGGTGGTGCTGATTGCGTTGCTCAAAAGATCTGTTTTAAAGACTGCAACGAATTTGATATTGATAAGCATGGCAATTAGTGACTTACTTGTTGGAGTACTAGTCGAACCTTTGGTAGCTGCCCATCGATCATACGATCTGCAGAAGAAAGAATCATGTATGGTAAAAAACATTTCTTCCTACCTTGGCATACTGTGCGTTGGAGCTTCTTTCTTTAACATATGCATGTTCGCCATCGACCGTTGCTTTGCAACGATTATGCCATACCGCTACATGGAATGTAACCTTCACACTAAATACCTTTTCTCTATACTTTCTTCCTGGCTTTCCTTGGCGTTGCTTTCTCTTTTAACCTATCTTGAGGTGATAGCGAAAAATGTTCTGTTTGCAATAATGGCAATGCTTCATGTTTTCTCTGTGCTTCTGACACTGGTGTCTTATGTTGTTATATACCATGCAGTTATGGTGCAGCGTAAAAGGGAGAAACAAGTCTTGCCCAGTAACACATTTAGAGATCAACCAATCAAATCACAGAATTTAGAGAGCAAAGTTGGTGAAAGCAGCAGCATGTCCCTAAAAGCAGCAAAAGTCTCAACAAATCACATGTCAACACGAGAAATGGCTCTAAAGATTACTGATGTTGCCAGGGAATCGATTGCAGAGAGACAGAGAATGAAACGAACGGGCGCTATCAACCAACTCAAGAGATCTTATGCCGTGATAACAATCTTTAGTGCTTACATAATTTGCTATTTCCCGTTGAATTTCTTAAACTTGATGACAAGGTTCGTGTCTTTCGATGAAAGCACTCGAATCGTCACATACGGTTGGCTGAATTTTCTCGTTCTCTTGAACAGCTCCTTGAATCCTGTGATCTACTGCATCAGAGTAACATCAATTCGCAACGAAGTGAAGAAAGTGCTCCAAAGCATTATCTCGTGGCGACCACTTCAATAAAAATTATCAAGAAACATTTTGTTGACGAAAAGTTCATAACCTTTTAATGCTTTGAAATCTAAAAAGATTTTGCTTTTAAGGGCATTACGGCTTTGAAACTGTTAAATGAACAATAACCATTAAATATCTAATTTATAAATTAATGAAAAAACATAGATTTATTGAAGTTAAATTTAACTCTGTCTTGCAAAGCCCTTTAGTGCCGTGACGTGGGAATAAGGTACATAGTAGTATTTAAATAAATAAGCACTTTGAGAGTGATTGTTCGTTACTTTAGTTGGGGAATTGTAGAAAAAATGACTGGTAATAGACTGGTAATAGTAAGGATTCTTTAACTTTAGTCGTAAGATTTCAAAACTCTTCATTTTGTTTAAGATCTATAGATAGTGTAGATCTCTTTATTCAGGTGTATATTGTAAATAGTCAAAGGTGTATCAAAAATGACATAACGGTTATTGAGAGAATTCGTTATTGAAAAATTATCTGTGTTTGGCAGGACTTAGATTTACAGTTTTGAACATCCTTCCTCCTACTGATTAATTGACCTTCTAGAAAGTATCTTGGCCCTGCGTAAACATGTCCCATCGAGCAGCATCCAACGTATTTGCTCAGTTTTATGTTGAATTGTTTTAGCCGATCCTATAATCAGCTCTATGTTGTTGTGTGCTGCCAGATGCTTTGCTAAATTATGTTTGATTAGGAAAAAAATCAGTGGATGCGCTCATTAATTGGAACTGTTGATATCGAGCGATATTTTTCGATTTCCCCACCATAGACGGTGCTACAAGCGAAGACTTTTCTACTTTGCGCAAATGTCGAATTAGCTTGGCCACCTGCCAATGATTAACACTAATCGCTTATGAGCATCTGCTTTATCATTTTGCTGCATGTTCTTCGGTGAATCAGTCTGGTTAATGGTTGATTCCTTGAAAATGAATTTTTAAAAAAAATTAGTTGATAGATTTGAATTTTTGCTGTTAAGAATTATATCTGATGCTTAAGCTGAAAACTGCTAGATGAACAAGACTGCTTGATGAGTTATAAAAGGTTAAAAATCTACACCTTTGTAAATAAATAGTTAGTTTAAAATGAAAAAGGAGGGAAAAGAGAAAAAGGAGGAAATAGGGAGAAAAGGTGATGCTACGGTCTCATGGCTTTAATCTTCAATCACTAATAGGTGCAGATCGTTATGAGCAGCAGATCGCTCTGATCATCGATTTCTTCATCATGACTTTTTCCTCAATTTTGATGCTAGCAATATTTCTCTAATATCGATCCTAAAAAAGGAAACACTATCATCCATAATCCAGGTTCCTGATCTGTCTTGCCCTTTTTGGACTTTTCCAAGTAATTTTACCCTACATATGCCAACCTATACCAGCGACATCTTGAGCCAAACTGCTCCTGTCATTGTAAATCAAGTTTAAGTCTATATGCGCGCGCAAAATTGTCTCGATTACAATGAGCGGGATGCCTATATCAGACGAGACCAGCAGAATAGTTTGGCCCGTTTCACATTATTCTGCAAAGCTTGCTAAAGATGTCTTCAGTAGGTGTAATAATTATTAGATAACAAGCCTTAAAGTTAGTGAAAGGATAAGAACAAATTAAGAACAATCTGACACTGAAGTACTGTACAAAAAAAATTTGAAACCTTAAAACCATATTTTGAAGGTCTTGAACTGTTTTCAAAGTTCGCTCTTGTCGGTGACCAAGCGCCAGTAAGCTATAGATTAGAGTTGCGCAACTTTTTTTCATGGAGGGCCAATGGAAAATTTGGGTCATAGATTGTAGTCATAGAAATGTATTTATAATTTTCTTTGTTCAGGAGGAAGGCTGACATGGGGAACTTTTTTCCATAAGGGTACTGACCACTTAGTTGGAATCAAACTCTAGTTTGCAGCATCAAAAGCAACTACCAAACATTTATTTGAATATAAGTTTGGAATGAAGTGGACGATGGTCTGGGAGGAAGTGAGGCAACCTCGCTCGCTTCGTGCATTAGAAGGTTGAACACGAGTAAGACAAAGTATCATGCACAAAAAATTGGCAAAGAATGCACCAGGCAGCAAAAGTCCAGCTTGTTGGACAATGCATAAAATTCTCCTGCATAGATTCATGTTGCAAGCCTAAGGAAAGGAATTCTAAAGGTATTTCCCACTTTAGGATAGAAGGTTAGACATACCTAAAAAGGTATTCGAAAGTATAGTTCTGAAGATTCAGGTCAAGAATAGGACTGTATAGTTAAATTCTGTAAGATTTAGGGGAATATAATAAACAGTGAGAGAATCAAATCTAAACACTTAACAAAAAAGAATACAATAAACTATTTACAACTCAAACGATTTCACCTCAATGTTCTTCATGGGCGAGAGTTCAATGTTTCGTATTGTTCCTTGGTATACCGTCAGAATTTCTTATTCTTCTTCCGCTAGAATCTCCTTCTTTCTTCCAACGACTTCACTCCAGAATCCCAGGAAAAGCGTCAAACAACCGGCCCTCGACCTCACTATAGCGGCCAGGAGGCTCAACAACAAAAGAACAGCAAAGCAAGGCCAAAATAGGAATAACACAGAAGATTGAGACCCCGTTTACACTGTGCCGGATAAATTTTATCCGCATCAAAATTAGTTCAGATAGGCGTCGCGTTTACACTAGACCCACGTTATCCACACGAATTTAAGAGCGCCTATACGAACAAAATTAGTTTACCTAGGAAAGTGGATTAAACTAGTTGAGATAGCTTTGTGGTACAGTGTAAACGCTTTTATCCGGATAAATTTTATCCCCATCGTATCTTGCTCGAAAGCGATTGGCTATTTCATCCAATTTAGTTTTTACTGTCTCCCAATCAAGACCTATCACCATCTTGGCTGCCTTGTTGTCGATAAATACTCTTGTTGAAAGTGCAGTATCTTGCCAGTCCACGTAAAATTGGCATCCTTGTCAGTTTTCCCCACTTTAGTTGCTAATTCAGTGTCATTTTGTTTCAAAAACAAACTAATAAAACAAACTAGGCCTAATTTGTATTGACAATATGTTTGGATTTTGGATTGACAATAAGTCTTTTTACGTTGGCGGGATTTTTGTTATTATTCTGTTGCCCAGAGAAGACTTCATTTTGGGCGTTCTGTGCATGATTTAGGTCATGTGCCTGCAGTTACTGGCACAGTGTAAACGGGAGGGCAAAGTGGACAAAATTTGTGCGGCACAGTGTAAACAGAAATCAATCCGAACAACTTTTATGCGGATTAATTTTATCCGGCACAGTGTAGACGGGGTCTGAAACAAGGCTGCACTCAATTTTCAACAATGTTATTGACCTATCACCCACCGACCAAACTTTATCAGCATCAAAAGGATTGAATATTTTGAAGAAGTTGATGTCAGCTTCACAAATGAAGTGATTAATAGAGCGCATCGAATTGGCAAGGTAATAAGAGTAAAAGGAAGAAAGACAGACAAATAATTGTGCGCTTCACTGCATGACGTCATGGTACCAAAGAAAAATTTCCATCATATTTACTTAACATTTTTTATGTGATCACAGAATATGATCGTTTAAGGACCTTACAAGTTGCTTCAAGTTGCACATATTAGCAAGAACTAATCTCTTTTAACTCCCCGTTTATTTGTCATTCCAATACAGATTTTTCATTTGACAAGCGATCAAAGAAGAAAGGTCTTTGATGCAATTTTTAACGGCACCTACATATCATGCTTTTTAGGAGAAAGACACTAAAAACTTAATGTTTCGATTGAAGTATTTGAATAATTGTTTGCATAAAATTGGATTTGAGCTGATAAAAGATCATTTAATTCTCTTTGCAAATATACGTTGCCGATTCTGTTGGCTCAAGGGATCCCACACGCACTTTGACGGTTTAAATGACCTTACAAATAAAATATATATTCTATGATAAAATTTGTGCAAGATTTTTTTAATTATCATGGTTGACTGGGTATCCAAATTAAATCCAGATCAAGCGCTTTTTCTCTGCGATATTGAAAGCACCTGCCTTTGTCACCCTCATTTAAATTTAAAGAATCAATGCTCATCAACCACTCTGCTAGTAGACATTTGATTGCGCGTTAATCTCCCCAGCAAAGATGGCTATTTTGTTTTATTAAAAATAATTTTGTTAGGTTAAGAAACTCCTTTTCTATATATTTTCCAAGTGCCGTTTCTTATTTAAATGATATATAAATAAGTTTAGATTGTATGAATAAATCTGGTTCCTGTAAGTCACTCTGGTACCACCTGTTGACCAGAAGGTACCAAGAAAATCATAACATTGTTTGGTAATAAGGTTTCTACCTGGAAGTTACTTGAGGAAATCCGCAATCTGTAGAATCGAAGTTGCATTTCATATAGTCAGTTTCTTTTGAGATAAGACAATAAGATGTTGGGTTAGCAAAGGCTCTTGTGGTTTTGTAGACAGTTGTCAAAATTGTAGACAGTTGTCAACTCCAGTAGACAGTTGTCAAAATTGCAATCAAAGTAGCATAAGAATAGCTGCAAATAAGTCAATACCTTAGACATAGAGAGTAATAATTTGAATACGACCATTTACAAATATACACATTTTTAGTGCAAGCCCATTTCTTGCATCTCCACTTTTCTATTGCAAAGTTGTCATTAATTAATATTGGCATTCATGCAGGACTTAACAGATTTTCTTTGTTTAAGAAGAAGCTCTGAATACGGTTTTTCCACTGACAGTTGCAAAAACGTTGAAACAAGTCTCTTTCTAGCCCTTTCGTTTATCCTTAAGGCAGAACTCCACCTCTTGTTTATTAAATAAAAATCGCAATTGCATATGAGATATTTCTGTCAAAAGCTAGCTCGAAAAGTTTCTGCCAACAATTTTTGTTGAAAAGTTTCTGCCAACATTTCATGCCCTTCCAGTAAAGGACTATGGCTTTTACTGACCATAGATGTATATAGTGGAAGCCTCATCAGATGCCAGTTTCCATGTTCATTTACTGGTAACCAGTCAATTGGACCACTTCTTACTCTTTATCGTAGTGGCCTAATAGAATTCCTGCAGCAGTATTTCTTTATCTTTTGCAGTAATATTAACAGTTTCAATGGAAGAGGTCGACAAAGAACGCCAACATACTTATTGTCCACATTGGACGTAACGAGATGCTCAGCCGCATTTCTCTTTCATTCAAATGGAACGAGTTTCTCCAATTTTTCCTAGTATGGACACCCTGATCTATGAAGATGTTATATTGATTGTATCGCAGTCACATGATAGATGATAGCTCAATATTACAGCAAGCAATTTACTGAGTGTGTTCGTTCAAGACCCATTCCCTTAAGCCGTAGAAATGAATTGAAGTCTTGAAGACTGTGTTACTTTGAATTATGCTTTGCACACAAAATCATAACTTTTCTCTAATTTCGGTTTAGAACAAGATTTGTGACTGAAGACGGAGGAATTTACTTTGAAAGGTAAAAGGAGAATAGATCGTTTGGCTTTCCAAAAGCATTCGGCTTTCTATCATCCACTGGAACTAAGTAATAACCATTGTCCAAGTAGCTTAAAAACAACTTAAGAAAACTGCTGGAAAATCGATTAATTTATCTTGTGTATCAATGCTATGTATTCAATTTCGTCGAATGCTTTTAAAAAGTCCACTAGGCCTATTAATGGAACCATACTTTCTTTTAGTTACTGGAAAGATGTGACAGAACTTCTCGATGAACTGCCTGCAGGAATAACGGAAGCTTATGCTGCAATAGGACTTTCAACACCAATGCAAATGTACTTATGTATAGAAGCAAAGAGAAGACTTTAAGCTCAACATTCGAAAGCAAATAGTTCTATATTGTTAATACTTTTTACTAGAAAATCCTGTTTCAATACTTGTAGAAAAGCTTGCCTTGACGAGGTAAAGAGTCGCTCTGTGAAGAAACTGCTTGTTCGTCATTGCTGTTGCATTAAACAGATGCCTTATGATTATTAAGATGACTTTTTAGTGTCCATAGTCAAATAATGTCGAAAAGCATCGAAAATTCTTGGATCAACATAGTTTTGGCACATTTGCAGTGAATTTTTACTCATTTAGTAGGGCCTAAGCCACAATATATAAAGTGAGGGAAAGGAAGGCTAACGAAAGTCCAGGGTCCTTTCAATCTTGCAGCTTTGAAATCAATTGCTTCGCAAAAGAAGTGGGGAGGCAATGGCCACCCTAGCTACTCTAGTGGCGTGGGCCAAAAGCGCCGTAAGCTTCATGATGCGGGGGGGAAGGAACTGCAGAAAGGGTACCTTGGGGGTATCAAACCG